AATTATTCAATTTGTCTTACAGGCAAGGAGTATATCCATCATCATGGAAGTCTGCCGCAGTACAACCCATTCCAAAGAAAGGAAAAAAGACAGATCCGTTAAACTATAGACCAATTGCTCTACTTCCGGTGATATCAAAAGTAATGGAAAGAGTTGTGAACAATCACCTAACCAAGTACTTGGAAAAGTACAAAATTATCAACGATAAGCAATACGGATTTCGAAAATATAGGTCAACTGGCGATTTACTTACATACGTCACTCACTTATGGCAAAAAGCGATTGAGTTGCGGGGTGAAACAAGAACAATTGCCTTAGATATATCTAAAGCATTCGACAAAGTTTGGCATGAAAATCTGCTCAAAAAGCTCAAAGCAATGGGATTATCGCCGAAACTTTGCACTTGGTTTGAAAGTTACCTAAAGGACAGATCCATTTATGTTGCACTGGATGGCCAGAACTCCAACTCTTACCAAATAAATGCTGGTGTGCCACAGGGAGCAATCCTTTCGCCAACTCTTTTCCTGATTTACATAAATGACCTCATAGATAAAACAGTAAATCCACTTTATTGCTTTGCAGACGATGGCAATGTAGTCTCCTCACTCATACCACCCACAGGTCTTTCCGCACGTGAATTCCATCATCTTAGATTAACTCAAATATCGCAGATAAATAACGACCTGGAGATAATAGAGGACTGGGGTAACAAAAACCTTGTACAGTTCAACGCGCAGAAAACCCAAGCAGCTCTGTTTTCAACAAAGACCAGCACCGGTGAGCCAAACATCATGCTATCTGGAAGTGCTGTCACATTACAGACTCAGTTGAACATCTTGGGGGTTACTGCAGAGACCAACATGTCTTGGCACAGTCACGTGGCAGATATTGCTAAAAGGGCCTCCCAAAAGCTGGGGGTGCTATTTCGTACAAGACATCTGTACACACCAAGCCAATTGCTGACACTCTACAAAGCCCAGATTCGACCAACTATGGAGTACTGCTCACATATATGGAGTGCAGCTCCCAAACATACCTTAATGCTTTTGAATACCGTGCAAAAACGAGCTATCAAGCTGATCAATGACCCCGCACTTACTCGTAACTTGGATGGTCTCGAACATCGCAGATCTGTGGGCGATTTATCTCTCTTCTACAGGTACTATCACGGAAAATGCTCTGAAGAGTTGGCACGTATGATTCCACCGAGAGTAGCACCTACCAGGCGAACCCGTCAAACAGACGGTAACCATGAATTTACTGTCAAACTAGAGGCACCAAGAACCTCATTATATCAGAATTCATATCTCTGGAGAACAGCATCGCTGTGGAATAAACTCCCTGCGACGGTTTTCCCTGCAGGTTACAACCTGAACCGTTTCAAGACCAACATACACCGACATTTCCGCGCACTTGCCGCTTCTCGAGCGTGATAGGACATTTCCTTGCGAGTGCGCATATCCGTAAAAAAAAAAAAATATATCCTTCATTTTCATTGACAATATTTTGCGTACGCACAGTACATGTATTTACTGCGCACGCTCACAGCTGTCCCAGTTGTTTACATTATGACCTCGTAAATTAGCAGCATTAAAAGCGTTCTTTGTTTATCCATTTATTTTTGAGATCAGTGATGCTACGGCACGTAAGTTAGCATCATCAAAAACATCCTTCCAACTTTCAATGGACAATTTTTGTTTTAAAGTTTTAAAATTAATTTTTTGGAGTACAGGGCCGGTATTCTCGTTCTCAAAAACACTCACCGCTTTATAGTCGCTCGGCACTTTCAAAACGGGGAGCGTTTTTGAGAACGAGAATACCAGCCCAGGGTCCTTATTCTTGAAACAGGGGAGCAGCGTTCCCAGGAGAACGAGTTTTCCGTCTTTGTTACTTATATTATCATTTGCATATCGTTGAGAAAGACGGAACACTCGTTCTCCTGGGAACGCTGCTCCCCAGTTTCAAGAATAAGGGCCCTGGTCTATTTTCAGTTTCAGAATTGTCAATTATATTAAACTTAATATTCAATAGGATGGGATAGTGATGAGTGAAATCCCTCTTTAATATAACTGGATTTAGCTTATCGTACATTGTATTGTTGCATTTTACAAAGCACTGATTAATACATGTAGCACTTTGATGTTGTACACGAGTTGGTTTATAGATCATGCTCAAAAATCCATATGAATTCAACATAGTGATGTAGTTATTTACTACTATTAGAACATTATATTTGTTTAGTAGACATTAGACAAGCTAGTTTCCAAGATGAGATGTTATTTAAATCATTCACAAAACTATCCACATCCGTAGCTGGTGATCTATAAAGTCCTAAAATGGTACTAAAAGTATTGCTTTTGCACAGTAAAACATGTAGACATTTTAGGTTATTTGATTTTTGACTCTCTGATGTTGCAACTCTGGAAAAGTTGTTCTCTAATATATATCATACATCCGTCAAACTTGTTTATGGTACTTTCATTCCAGAAAGGACTTCAAAAGACCTTTTTTGTTCCTCAAAGGAGTCTGACATAAATTGTACTGATTTTGCCATTTCCTTCACCTCCCGTTCGATGTTTTGCTTAAAGGGGTTCATCACTTCATTTAAACATTCTCTCACAACAGTTTAAAGATTGTTTTCATATTCTTTTTGGACCTTTTGTGGACTTACCTCATTTTTTATTGTAGATATAGATATACACGTCTGGCAAGTAAACATCTTACATGGCAATTTTAATGCGATAGAATGAAATGTTTAGAAAAAATATAAAGTTAAATAGAGAACGAAAACGATTTCCCCCGTTCCACCTCCAGCAAAAAGCGCTGGGGATGCAAGAGGTGGAACAGGGGAAATCGTTTTGCCAGGAATGTATAGATATAGATAGGTGAGCAACTCTTTTTATTTTCATCCAACAAATGCTGGAGAAATAAGACAGGTGCTCAGGAATATGAAAAACAAAAACTCTTCGGGATGGGATGGTGTGCCCTTGAAGGTCTTTCTTGCACTCCCAGAGATCTCTTTGGAGGCTTTGGCTGAAGCCATAAACATGTTGTTTGTATCCGGGAGGTTTCCCTCATGTCTCAAGATCGCCAGAGTGATCCCTCTTTTTAAGGGAGGTGACCCAAATGCTCCAGTTAATTTTAGGCCTATTTCTTTGCTCCCAACACTCTCGAAAATTGTGGAAAGAATTGTGAAAAAGCAAATGATAAGTTTTTTAGAAGCGCAGTTACAATTTGGTTTTCAGGCTAAAAAATGCACAAATGATGCCATTTTTTCTCTGATGCAGGAACTATACATTCAGCTCAATTATGGAGAGATTGCTGCAGCAGTATTCTGCGATGTAACCAAAGCTTTTGATTGTGTTGACCATGGAGTACTGCTTGGCAAGCTCGAAGTTTTTGGGGAGTTGTCTTGGATTGGATTGGGTCGTATTTGTCAGATCGTCATGAGTCTGTCATTTTTGATAATAGCACTTCATCAAGTTTAGCCATAACTTCTGGAGTACCACAGGGATCCGTCCTCGGGCCTTTGTTATTCCTAATATATATAAACGATTTGGCAACTTTGGAAATATCTGGTTCCTTTACCATGTTTGCTGATGATGCTACGATCTTGTGACACTCAAGAGACCCGAATGAATTGGCAAATTATGTAAGTGAGAATCTGGGTAAAATAAAAGATTGGTGTGATTCAAATTCCCTGACTCTGAATGTCTCTAAGACAAATGTTTTATGCTTCAAGTGTCACTTAGAGGGGGTGTTGTTGAATAGGGAATCCGTAGGCAATGTCACACAGAATAAATTTTTGGGTCTCTTGGTTGATGAGCAGCTGAAGTTCAATGAACACATTTTGCAACTGTCGAGGAAGCTTTCTGGGGGTTGTTATGCCCTGAGGGTAATAGCATCGGAGGTTAACTTATCGGCAACAAGGGAAGCATATTTCTCTCTGATAGACTCACAATTGCGGTATGGTATATGCTTTTGGGGAGCTTGTTCTGGATATTTATTTAATACAATTTTTTTACTACAAAAAAGAGCACTGCGTTTTATGCTAAAGTTAAATAGAAGAGATTCTTGTAGGCCTTTTTTTATTAGCCATAAAATCCTAACTTTGACCAGCGTTTTTATCCATGAAACAGCCTGTTTGATTCATTGGAAGTTTAAAAGGGAAATTCAGGCCACTTCAGCTTATACTGTGAGAAATACCCACAACACGTCACTTCCAATACCTACTTCCACCTTAACTAAAAAGTCCATAATTTATAATGGTAGGAAAATATTTAATCATCTACCAAAAAATATAAGAAAAATAGAAGATGAAAGAAAATTTAAAAGACAAGTGAAAAAAATTACTTTTGAACAAAGCTTATTATTCAGAAATCGAATATTTTGACGACTTATTTTAGACTGTGATTTTTTGTATACATTTATTTTATTTTATTTAAGACCAGCTTTAATTTATGTTTTGTATGACCTCCTGTGTAATTTTAGTATCGTCGTTTTATTATGTATCCTTTGTATTGTCGACTTATCGGTGTTTTTAATATTGTTTTACAAGTCAGCATTATATGTTTTAGGTATTTTTTTTTTTTAGTTTTTAGTTCTGCTTTGTCAATGAGATGTTTTAATCTTTTTTTTTATGACAATAAAGCTGTTTTTGAATTGAATTGAATTGATTGATTTTTATCCGGTTACTACGCCAAGTATTACTGGCCTATGTTTATTAAGTTGTAAGGTACTTAATGTTTCTTGTTGTTTTTTTTTCTTTTGAAACTTTTAATGGGTCTTGCCCGTAAATAAATAAATAAAAATAAATAAATAAATAGATATAGTTTTTTTTTTTAATGTTTCTGTGTTACTCAACTTTAAACTTTCAACTTTTCAATTTTATTCCTTGACAATTCTGAAATATGTTACCTGAGTATGTTACCAAGCCCACAGAAATATTCGTATCTGATTTGATTTGATAAAATTAAGTGAAAAATTAAAAGGTTACTTACGATTATGTCAAAAGTCTGTCCACCTTCTTCCCATGGTGCAGGAGCTGGATCGTCTCTGCGTAACAAATATCTCCAGACCATATGTCCAGACTGGCCTCTCTGTTGAAAGTACTTGACAACCTTATAGGTGCCATCATACCTGAACCCCTCCTTTGGTGCATACTCGGAATGTTTGCCTAACTTATAGCTTCGCACAACTCGTACAGGTTGGCCCTTTTTCCAATCGGTAGATGTTGCACCTTCACGGCTATTCAATTTCGCGTAGCAGTTTGAAGCCAGAGCTCTGACAACAACAAAAAAAAATTAGCATTGTCCAATCGAATATATTTTTTTAAATTGCTTACCGATTTGTTCTGGTAAGGGTTTGATCAAAGCATTGCTTGTTCGTCCGTTTGTTTCCTTTCAAATCTCGTCCTCCAGCACCGGTATAGTAAAACTCATTGCCATTATCAACGTCATCTTCGTAACCTTAAAAATAAGAAATTAATATGTGAGTTGTGTACACACACAGTTATTGTCAACCATTGTGCACATTACTCACTATCTGCAATATACTGTTGTAATAATTTGATTATGGGAAAATAAACAAACAAACAAAAATGAATCAAAAAAATTGGTGCTCGGAAGCACGAATATTCCACGATACAATGATATCTTGTTGATAGCAGTTGAAATATTTCAACCCCCTTTTTCCCTTTCTTTCATCGATTTAGGTGTTTTGGGACACAAATATCGTATTTTTAATAAAATTGAAAAAAAGTTAAAATTCTACGGTTTTAATAGTCCTCCATACCCTATGGGTATGTATGTATGTATGTATGTATCATGAACTTAAAAACAACAGATGAAAACAAGTGTAATACGTTTTGGTATTCGGCAAGCAAGTGTCTAAACGAGAAAACACAAAATTCTATATTTTGCCAATCACTAACTAAACTAATTTTGATTTTTTTCAAAATAAACTATAATATAGATTTTTCTTGTACTAATCAAAAATAGACCCTCCTTCAATAAGTTTCATAAATGTTCAAGATGAACAAGTGTATGTCCGACAAATACCATTTTAAAGTCACGTGATATTGGTGGCAAAAAACGTATGTCCATTGATTATGTCGTTGATATCACCTACAAAAAGCTACTAGTGGTTAATTACTATTGAATTTTAAGATATGTTCCCAATAGCATTTTACAAACGCGTTTCTGAAGTAGTATTGACCAATCAGATGGGAATTTCAATACTTGCAATTGTTGTGAGACTCACTTTTGACGCATCTGCTGTCCATTGTAATACATTCTGAACTTGAATTGGGTACCCGATTTCTATTTGCTTCTTTTCGAGTTGGAAAAAGGTTATAGTCCAGGAGGTGGCGTCAAAAACATGCAAGAGTTTTCGCAAGGCGGATATTTTCAAAATAGGTCGTACTTTAGTGCTAGAATGCTAGTGTACAGTCAGCACTCACAGTTCCGGGACAGCTGGTTCTGGGACGCAGGCAAAGTTGTAATTTTAAGAAGCATCTTAACTGTTTTCTCAAAGCTCAAAATTTATAGAAATTTTGCACATTATCTGTTTGAAGGTCACAGATAACGTATGTAAATCGTCAGACGTCTAGTTCGTTGCAAAAAGGGGGTCAGACGTCCTCAAAGTTCTTATTTTATGGCATTTTCTTCAAATATATTTGTCAAATACCTGCAAAAATATATTTTGACAGGACACCGAAGAAAATGTCATAAAATAAGAACTTTGAGGACGTCTGACCCCCTTTTTGCAATGAACTAGACGTCTGACGATTTACATACGTTATCTGTGACCTTCAAACAGATAATGTGCAAAATTTCTATAAATTTTGAGCTTTGAGAAAACAGTTTACATGCTTCTTAAAATTACAACTTTGCCCGTGTCCCAGAGCCAGCTGTCCCGGAACTGTGAGTGCTGACTGTACACTAGCATTCTAACACTAAAGTACGACCTATTTTGAAAATATCCGCCTTGCGAAAACTCTTGCATGTTTTTGACGCCAGCTCCCCAACTATTAATATAGTCAAAATTATTAGCTGTTTGTTCGTTGTATCATTTTCCAAAATAACTTTGACAAACTAATTGATGACAGTGACGGATTCTATTTCAGATAAGAATATTATGAATAATAATGGACCTTTCTCATGCAATGAACAACAAGGATAGTTTAGTAAAATTTCTGCAATAAAGAAAGAGACACATATTATGACGCGCGATACCTGTGTGGAATGACTTTGATTGGTTCCACTTGTCAAATTGTGCAATTTCGGTTATGTTTCTGTTTTTGTTTATTTAAACGTAAATATGACGAATATGTATCAACAATAATTAGAAAAAAAACCCACCGTTGGACAAAAATGTTTGCAGCAAACCTTTAATTGTACAATTATTATTGTATTTGATATAGAAATCGTTATTTTACGAACCGTCAAATCTCTGTCCCAACTTAAGTCGTCTTCATTCGGGTTGAGAGCACGTTACTATTGTTTTCTTACAATTTGATTGCCTGGGAACTTGTGAAAAGAAAGGTTTCACTTCTTTTTCGCCTAATTCTGACAAGAATTCATTCAACTCATTTGAACCATTGTATCATAACATAAACAGTTTTTGTATTAATTTTCAGCAATATTGATTGATACTGATTGATTATTGAGGTTAGCTTAAATACGTCAGGGTCAGACCGTGTTCAGTAAATTGACGATTTAATTATCTGTCACCCACAAGATGCGCGCGCAGCACAGGTAAAATGAGAAAGGTCCATTAGACACCATTTTTTTCGTCAATTTTGCTATCACCGCTGTTTGAGATGTATTCAACAAGGATAGAGAAAAATCACGTGACTTTAAAATGGTATTTGTTGGACTATACCTGATATCAAAATATTATAAATATTCTGTAAACAAATTTAAGGTTTAAGGATAATGATGATAATAAGTAAATAAGTTGACATATTTCTAACAGACTGTTGATATAACTTATAACTCATACATAGGTATTGATATTACGAATCAGGGAACACAAAAATTCCACTAAATTCAGAAAGAAACAAAAACTTTAAGAAACTTGTCAGCACTGGCTGGGAATTTGCTGCTCCATCAGAAGGTTTACAGCCAACCAGTGAAAATTTCCAGGGTTTAGATGTAAATAATAAACTCTATGGATCAATATGCCATGGTGCCCAAGTAAAAACATGTAATATCAATCTACTTTGTGCAAACCTCCAAGATTAAGGGTTAAAATCTACCTCAATGGAAATTAAATTGAATAATTAAACAAATATACGAACCTCCCGACAACACTACGCTGTAAGCACAGTCTGACGATTGACCGTGAATTCCAGCGACCATAGGTCTATGAACACCCGCTGAAGCAACCTAAACAATTTAAAAAAATATATATATAATTATTTTACAAATATTTTTTAAATAAAAACCAGGTGCATTAACAATACTTACCCCTGCTCTGAACTTCCAACATGTTCCTACTTCTATGCCAGGAACAGGACCAACATGATTTTTTGGAACTATATCGTTGCGCTCCTGCACACCAACACAGGCCATACCTGTACCCCAATTTCTTTTTTTGGTGTTCATGCTAGGTTTTTTTTTAGTGATTTTTAATTTTTGTCCAGGTTGGACTATCTCTGACGTATCAGTTCTGCAGGAACTGCAATACCTAAATAGTTTATAGGTAGAAGATTATTAGGTATTTGGCTTTCCAGTAGAATGCTTCTTACCAGTCACCATCTGGCACTGTTTTCATCGGCGGATCTGCACATGATAAGTGGAAACCTTTATCACACTCATCACACAATAGAATCTGGTCCCAATCATCTTTCCCTCCACACATACTGCAACTGCAAATTTTGCATTCAACTTCGAGGTTGTCTTTGCAGATTTTACAAAGGTATGGGTATTTTCCTGAGAAAAATTTAATTAATTATTATGAGATATTTACTTAAATTTCAGTCAACCAACTTTTATGAATTTTAGGGATGTGTTCTCTACGTATATCTGCTTTTTCAATTCTCATAAACTCTTGATTAGATTTAACATCAAAATTTTCAACAGATCCATTTCCCATTACTACAGTTCCAGAAATACGAGTTCTTCCTATTTTTTCTATAAGCAAATCATACCTAAAATACATGATTCATAGTAATCAATCATATATTCCGACAAATCCCAATAATAAATATACATATTACAGTGTAACCTCAATTGTCCAAACTAATTATCATAAACTACACTACTGGTTAACCAATATATTTCGATTTCCATTTTGAAATGCCAAAATATAGGAATTCTCTGGTTCAAGTCATATTTGAACTAAAAATACACTCATCTTTCATTTAAAAAAGCAGGAACCAAACACACCAAAAAAGTAATATTTCTTGAAATTTCTACAACTTGTGGGGTGTTTTCCCTCCAATGGTGTTTCCTCATATTTGATACCCTCCTACAGTGTTGACCTTTACAGGTAGAAGAAAGGTGTGAATACAAAAAAAAATTGAGTTTTAGCGGAACTTTCGGAAGCCGTTGTCAGAAACAGACATTGAATTTTGGAAACGTGAAATTTTGCATACTATTAACTTTTTTTAAATGGAATGAATGACCTATATTTGTTCCCATATTCTTGAAGAGCACAATTTCCCGATTCCAAAAATAAGCTTTCACCTTTACAGGTCGAATGATTCACAAAATCTAGTCAGTAAGATAGTATTTTTATAATTTTTAGAGTCACATATATGATACTGCTCAACCAAACATAGGCAGACTATATCTTTTTGTAATAGGAAAATTGTGCTTTTCAAGAATATAGAATCAAATATAAGGCATCCCCTTCGGAAAAAGTTGTAAAAACGGCACATTTCCGACATTCAATTTCTGTTTCTTACTACAGACAGATTCCAAAAGTCTACCTAAAACTCTACATTTTTTGTATTCACACACTTCTACCTGTAAAGGTGAAGGCTGTGGGTGGGTATCAAAATATAGGAAATTGGGGAAACACCCTTTACCCACGATATTTTTCCATCGATTGTCTTACAACCAACTTAAAACTATTACTTAATACCAAAAATGTCCCAAAAATAAAACTACCAAAAGTCACTAGTCAAAAAGTTATTTCCTCGGTAATTTCATATAAGTAGATTGACTGATGATGGAGTGTGACAGAGCACTCTCCTGATCCTTTCATCCTTGTCTAAGCTTTCATTCAACTGTTTGCACTATCTTTTTTAACCGAGCATATCCTTTAAGATGGCTTGAACAAAAAAAGCAAACTCAATAGTGCATCAATCAAGTATTTAAGCCAAGAATCTCCAATCCCTTAGATTTAAAAATAGGTATTGTAAAAATAAACTTGATATATTTGTCGAATACTTCAATAACTAACAAAAGGTTTTTCATAAGTTAATCAAACAAAATCACTTTCAAACTCATGTACTCTAAAAATCAACACAAAGAAAGCTGGTGATAAATTTCGTAATGGAAATGAGCATTCCAAAATAGGCACAAATATTGACCCAGACTTACTGAATAAATTTCACTGCAGTACGTGATAATATAACACAAATTCTTTCTTCTGATATTGACCCCTTGAGTTATCTGGATGACATTGTGATTTTTTTATTTTTAACTGATCCAAAAGACATAATACGAAAGTTTAAAGGTGAGATAAGTAATAAAGATGTGGGAAAAAGCTTTAAAAGTATTAAGCAAACGAAAAATGCAATAATAGATGAGAGCTTTGATAAAAATAAATAAAAAAAAAATTAAAAACAAAACAGTACTACAAGAAAACAAAGACATTAAAATAATAAAAAAAAGGAACAAAATCCAATGTTCATGCTAACCGGAAATAATAAAGGATGGACAGATGAAGAATTTCTGGAAGAATTACAAAGCCTGAACTATGAGATAGTAGAAGAATTGGGAGATACAGTTAAGGATAAAATTGAAGTTGTGACAAAAAACGAATGCCGAAACCCCAAAAAAGAAAATTGCATTCTACAAGCACCTCCACCGATCACAAAATGGTTGTTTGTGATTGATTTTGTTAGAGCAGCATACCAGTAGAGACTGTGAAATAGAAAAGAAGAACAGTACAAATCTCGCCACTTGGCTAGAAGTGAAACGTGTCCAGTTTATCAAAGAAGATTAAACAGATTTAGAAGAGCTAGCATTAACTATAGTAATTTTTTATAAATAAAAACATTGAAGGTACAGGCGAAGTAATTAATAAGAAAGAAAACTTTTTTTTTTGGAAGGGAATTCACGAGCTCTTTTTGGACAAAAATTTCTTTATTGTCGTTAGATTTTAAGTTTCTCGCCGACGTTTCGGTAATGGTTTTTTACCTTCTTCAGGGCTGGAACAACAAGATCCGATATTTGCATGTACACATTATACAACTTTGAAAAATTATGTTGTATAAACACAATTGAAATACAAATGAACAAAATACGAAAAAATAAATAAAATATTGATCAAATCAATGAGCGTTTGGAAGTCGAAGTGAAGCTGTCAATCTCCGGCCAGTGAATCTGCAGGATATGGAGAACTGCAGGATATGGAGAACTGCAGATTAACCCACCATCAACTTTGACTATGTCGTTATGTAATTGAGGTAAGAACTTGCACTTTCTCTCACCGGATTGTTGATTTTATCCCACTAATGTTAGTACTGTTTTATTTTATTTATTTTTTCGTATTTTGTTCATTTGTATTTTAATTGTGTTTATACAACATAATTTTTTAAAATTGTATAATGTGTACATGCAAATATCGGATCTTGTTATTCCAGCCCTGAAGAAGGTAAAAAACCATTACCGAAACGTCGGCGAAAATTAAAATCTAACGACAATAAAGAAATTTTTGTCCAAAAAAGAGCTCGTGAATTCCCTTCCAAACAAATTCATTACCTGGACGTGGCATCCCTATTCGAAAGAAAAAAAAACGGCAGAAAATGTCTAAGTTGGGAGAAAAATGAACAAAACTGAACAAGTTAGTGTTATTCATCAAAATGCACGATCTTTGGGAAATGCGGTAGATAGTATAGTGAATGTGCTAGAAACTAACGCGGACTGTAAAATGTTGTGCTTAACTCAACACTGGCAAACCCAGGATGAACTGAAAATGTTGGCGATAGAAAATTTTATTTTGGGCTCAGCTTTCTGTAGAGAACATAAAAAAACGGCGGCAGTGCTGTCTATTGGCGGGTTTATACAACATTTGCATAATCATAATCATAGTCATAATCACAGTCTTAATCATAAACACAATTTTGAACGCGTTTATACAACATCATAACTTTACATAAATATAACACTCAACCCAACTTTTTGTAGAGAGAATTTGTTTACTTTTTGCGAATCAAACTTAGTGTATTTACTTTTTCAAAGTTTCAAAAAGTGTGAAAATTCAAATTCTACAAAAGAAAACCATACAAGTGATAGGTCTGTCCTATTTATTTTTGAGTTTTGCTTCACTTATGGCTGTGGCATTTAATAAACAACTTCAACAAACGCAAACCATAGACAAAGAAGGTGGAAAGTGATGCCCATCAATAAAGAAAGGCAGAAGGAAGGGCATTTTGCCATGTTATTCAAAGACATGTGGAAGCTTGATGGAGACAAATTTTTTGAATACTCTAGAATAACTCAAGATCAATTTAAATACACACAGAACTAAAATAGCAGATTCGAATTGTTTTTTTTTTCTGTAACAGCTGATAATGGCGCATGCGCAGTTTGGATCTTGTCTTGGTCATGATCATAAAAGTTAAAAGTCGCCAACTTTGAGTTATCTTTGGTTATGCTTATGATTATGATTTGTGTATAAACGGTTCCATAGGAAAATATTATTTTAACTCTTATGACTAAGACTATGATTATGATTATGACTATGCAAATGTTGTATAAACCGGCCATATGTTCATTAAAGTGTAAAGTTCAAAGGTAGGAATAAGCTAAATAAGTTATCAATAAAAAATGTTATTGAGTGTGCAGCTGTTAAATGCACTATTAATTACACTGGAATTGTTGTACTTTCGATCTATAGACCTCCTGAATATAGTGAGCGAATTGAGCTATTTTTAAGCAAACTCGAAAATATCTTGTCATCAATTATTAATGAAGACAAAATGATAATAGTTGCAGGGGACTTTAATATCGAAATGTTAAAACCTAATGAAAATAGAACAAATATGTTATCCTCAGTCGAATAATCGTTTAATTTAGAACAAACTATCTTCAAAAATACCAGAATAACCGCGAAAGGGGGAAGTTGCATTGATATTATTTTTGTGAATAGTGAATATTTACACAGTTTTAGTAATAAATACCTTTATTTCTGAACATACCGCCCAGAAACTAATTATAAAGATTCAAAAAATTAATAAAAATACACTTGTAAACAATTGGTATTTATATTACTAGTACGGTATGAGCTTCATTCTTCATTACAGTAACGAGTGGGGAATATTGCCAAGACGAGGTCGTAGACCGAGTCGCGTTAATCACACGAGTGGTGTAATGAGCGTTACCGTACGGGTGATATACAACATTTTATGTACAACCCAGATTTTTTTCATATATTCGAAATGGTTTTAATTTTTCACAAAAGATTTTCAGCTGTATGACTGGTACCTTTAAAAATATCTATGGCTTAGAATACACATTTTTAAAAGTGACCAGTTTTAAACAGTGCTTTTAAGTTAAAATAGGATGTTGTATACAGCTGTATATTTATAATTTTAAAAAGTGTTCTTTTTTAATAAAAATGAGTTACGTAATGAGCTCCTACAGTGTAGGTCGTACATAAAAGAATTTTTTCACAAGAAAACAAAAATAATTTTTCACAAATGTTAATAGATCAAGATTGGACTGAATTATCAATAATTCCGGATTTGATAAGTAAATTAAACACAAAAACTTTAAATTGTAAAATAAATCCAAATAATGAGTCAATGTACCGTGCGTTCAATTTATCTTGATAACATTTTAATTCGCTGTAACTTTTTTGTTTTTGAAAGTATCAAGGTAAACAAAAAAACAAAATGTAGGGTTAGTAGCCAAGTTTTTTTTCAAGTTACCTATAAAACAAAACACTATCAATTTTTTGACATATGAGCCAACATTATATTTTTTTAAATGGAACACCCTGTATATTATATATGTGTTTGATAGAATATCTTATTCCGATTACGATGATATAATACACTCCATATTTTAGTCCACTCGTTTTTGACAAATCGGCAAAAATATATGAAACTTTTTAAGTGAAATTTATTAGGCGGCGATCTGATATTTGGGGGGAGAATCATTGATAGTGCATATAAAAATTTCATATTTTTGCCGATTTGTCAAAAACGAGTGGAATAAAATATAAAGTGTGTTAGATCATTGTAATCGAAATAAGATATTCTATCAAACGCATATATAATATACAGGGTGTTCCATTTGAAAAAATATAATGTAGGGTCATATGTCATAAAATTGATAGTGTTTTGTTTTATAGGTACCTTGAAAAAAAACTTGGCTACCAACCCTACATTTTGTTTTTTTGTTTACCTTGATACCTTCAAAAACAAAAAAGTTACAGCGAATTAAAATGTTATCAAGATAAATTGAATGCACAGTACATGAAGCCATTAACAATAGAAATATGTGAAGTTGGTAGGCAGAAAAATAAATATAGCAGTGGAGTGGATGAAATGCCTACATGTATCATTAAGTTCATAATTTCACATATTGCCGAAATTTTAACTTTTTAATAAATAATTCTTTTAAATATGGCATTTTTCCAGATCAACTAAAGTTAGCATTAATCAATTATTGTTATAACTAAGTAATTTTCACTATATGTATATGTATTTGACGTATGTAAGTTACTGACGCACCCAATTACAAAGTACAATGATTTAAGCTCGGATTTAAGCTAACTTAAACTAAAACTTAAACCAAAGTTATCTAAACCATTATTTGATTTGTTGATTATAGGTTCTCTAGTTACTTTTTTATGAAATTTTATTTAGAAATTTAACAAAATACATAAAACTAAGCATACGAAGCTAATACTCAACCTAAAAAAATATAGGTATCACAAGTTGGATTATATCAAAAAATAAAATCCAGCTTATGATATATTTACTTTTTTTTGGCACTTATTAGGCTAAGTATGAGCTTTGTATGAAAGTTTCATGTATTTTATGTATTATTTGTATAGTAGGTAGGTACTTAATATTATGAGAAAACCAATGGAAACTGTAACCTGATGGAAGAACAGATAAATTGAAATTGAATATTGTGTGTTTTACTGCCAATAAAATTAAATGTAAAGCCATTCCGCGACAGTAGCAACAGACAATTGAACCAATAATGATAATTGTTTGGATCACAAAGGCTATATTGTACTATGTTAATGTAATATTCAAATATATTACCAATCACCAAGTTCATTTGGGGAATCGATATTACAATTGGTCAGTACAGTCATGCCTGGTTCCAGCTCGGAAATTTTATAAATATAATAGCTTGCAGGACGGATATCCTTAAATTTAACATCCATCTCATATTGAAGAGGAAAAACATGCTCTGCTCTGTAAAAAAGAAATTATATGTTTCGAATTGAAGTTTTTCATGTAAAATAAATAAATAAGAAGAACAGATCAGTACCTCGGTACATAATTTAATCAGATGGATATAAAAACTCTTTTGTTGTCAGTTACGTAATAGGAAGAATTAATTACATTTGGAATTGTAATGAGACAATTTCATAAAATTTACACAAGCAATATCATTAATTGAATAGGGTTGAGCTCTTCAGGGACAGAAACGCATTTGGAAGTGAAAAGTGACTCTATCTTCATTTACCTCTTTACTTTGAAAATAAAATCCTCCTCAAGTGCTTCTTCTTCATTTTTAAATATCCCTACAATTCTAGATTCAACCCAATATCCATAATCCAAGTCTTTAGCATCGACATAGTCACCTGTAGAGTAGTATTCTGACTTTGCAGGAATTAATTTATCCCCCTCCTCTGCCTGGGACTCTTTCGTTAAAATTGGTTCATCGTCTTGTTTATCCTCAACTGGAATAATCCGTTTTGCAAGAAGGATGACATCATTAGGTAGAACTGAGTAGTCATTTAAAATGTGTCCTTCACATAGCTAGAAGAAAATATGAAAAGTTAAAGAATCAAATAAGAACTAAGTCATTTACAGATTAGTTTTTGAAGTTCACTCACTTGTCCCTGAGATAGATAAGTACTTAAGATAATCATGAGATAATAATATCCTCAGAAAAAAAAAACAAATTTTTTGGGGTTCCCTTGTGTTTCATGTTTTCAGCATAGAGACCTTGAGCATGAAATTGCTAGCAGAGACCAGACCGTTCAAGCAATATGAATTTCACACCCAGTAAATTTGCCAAAAGAAAAACATTCTATTGAGTTTCAGAATCATCTGACGAATGAAATCTCTATATTTCCAAACAAAACATTTTCCAAAATTTGTTATTATGACCTTGATTGTGACACCAGAAGGTTTTAAAGATACATGAGGTCTTACTAGATCCTCTCCTCCAAAATCTTACATACGGATACATTTTCGGAGCATTTATCATTACTATTTGAAACAAAAATATGAAAAAATGGTTATTTTAGGAAACGCGATGCGCGTGACTGGAGTGTCTCGGCATATACAGTCACACCGCGCGTGGAGCGAAAAGTTCACCAATAACAAATATTTTTTACTTATTCTTGATATTACTGAAACAAAGATGGGAGAAGGCACGCAATGCACGAACTTTAATTGAGGGGCGCAAATTGTCAATCCACACTCCACACGCCTTTAGGAAGAACTGTTCTCCTGGAGACACCCTGTATCTTTTTACCATACATGGTTTTCTGTCACATCATATCGACGACTACGACCGTAAGTTGGTGGTGTTTGACAGTCTGGAATAGTAGTACTATTTTTTTTAACCATTTTCTTATTCAATAATTGTTTGAACCTCGGTTTAAACCTAGCTACTGGTACTCAAAAAAAAACCTAATAGTATATTCAAATACAAGTTGCACAAGGCCACATATTCCCATACGAATTCGAAATTTTGCTACAATCGACGAAGGTGCAAGAGGACGAACAAATGAATTTGAGAATTGTCTTCTGCAACGCGTGTTTTATACTAGTTTCTCGATTTTGGATTTTATTTAACGGTTTTTTTTTTTAATTTTTTGGTTGCGTAAATGTGAACCAACAACATTGACACCTTGATAAAAAATCGAAGTCAAACATTGTCCTTATGTTTGTGTGCGTCTTGGTAATATGTAAACATTTATGTATGTTTAGGTTTTATATTTTAAATAAATTCTTAATACGTAGTTAATTAGTTAATTATTATCAAAGTTGGTAAATAGAAATGTTCCCTAAATTAGAAATATCTCTTGAACTTCGCTAAAATTTTTGAAAAAAGTGTAAAAGAAAGATTAACTAACTTTTTGAGGGAGAATAAGCTTTTATCTGAAAACCAATTCGGTTTCACAGAGGGTCTCAACTCTAAAGACGCTATGTATCATTTGGTAGAGGAAGTGAGGAATCAATTGGATGCCGACCGATGATGCTTGACCGTGTTTTTAGACTTAGCAAAGGCCTTCGACACGGTGCCTCATAAGAAGCTCCTTGAGGTTCTTGAACAGAATGGAGTGAGAGGCGTTGTTTTAAAGGTCTTCGAGAACTACCTTGCTGCAAGAAAACAACAGGTTAAGATATGTAACAGTTTGAGTGACCCTTCTCTTCTTTCATAAAAATTGGAGTTCCTCAGGGGACTGTTTTGGGTCCAATTCTGTTTAATCTCTATATAAAATCAATAGCCGACTTGAATATTAATGGTTATTATAATCATATCCTATGCCAGTATACTGTGATCATTTTTAGCGACCTGACATGGCAAGAAACCGAAGAAAACACACAGAGTGGTGTTGAGATTGTGAAAAACTGGCTTGATGTGCACAAATTATCCTTAAATGTGAAAAAAACTGATTACATTGCATTATCTAAAATCGAAGTAAACCGACCACAATTGTAATTAACAATATAGTAGATAACATACATGGGATTACAAACACCAAATATCTTGGTATAGTAATTGATCAATATCTAAAATGGGATTTACATGTTCTCTATCTAACACAAAAATTGAAATATTTAATCCATAATTTTTATTCTTAAAACAAATCTTAAATATTAAAATGTTAACAGTCTGTAGGTATCAGAGTCTGGCTGAATCGAGGGCTGAATCAATTCTACGGTATGGAATTTTGTTCTGGGGAAGTATGTACAGTCGGAATCATTGCAATTGGCACACACTCTTTAAAATCCCTCGTATTAAGTCAAAATTCTAACCAATAAATCTATTCAGTGCAGCATTTTGCTATTACTGTGTGTCAGATTTGACACATTACGAGGGATATTTATATAGTGTGTGCCAATTGCAATGATTTCCACTGTACAACAACTCCCTGAAACCACTACAAACTGTTCAGAATAGAATATTGGAAATTCTATTTAGAAAAAATATTTTTTTTACTACTAACCTGAGAAATTGTCATTATTCAATCTATTTTTCTAGGAAAAAATTGAATTTCTCTCCCTAGGTGAATAATGAAAATAATGAAAAAATACCTAGGTTAATAATGAAAATGACGTCATGACGCAAGGATATTGTCATGTTTCTATTGGTTCAATTTCATTTCCATACGTCAATTTGAAAAAAAATACAGGTTTCTGTAGGTACATAGGAAGTTATCATAAGCTGTTGATAGAGGGCAGCACTTTCAAGAGGGCGTTCAAAAAAAATAATTGGAGCACATATTTTAAACAAATTTTTCATTTTCTACTAGCAGTAGTAAAAAAAATTCTATATATTCCTCGGTAGAGAAAGTCATTATATACCTCACTCATTATAAACCTCGGCTCGAGCGCCTCGGTTTATAAAAGCGCTCGGTATATAAGGACCAACTTCTCTACCTAGGTATATAATATACTATTATATCCTTCTCATCTCCTCTATAATAACAACATTTTAAACATACGAACCTCGATAAGAACATTATTCTATCATACAGTTTGTTGTTATATGCATACTCATGAAAGAATTAAACATCCTATAGATCATGTCTATAACACTCCAATAAATGTAAATGGCCATTTGATTGTTCCTAGATATTATAGTGAGTTCAGGAAGAAACGAGGGAAGAAATCAATTCACTACTTGGGACCAAAATTTTCTAAAATATTGCCTTATCATTTTAAGAATGCAAATACAAAATATTTTTGTAAGCTTGCTAGGACATACATATATTGCAGAGCATAATGAATTATTTTCCTCTGTTATATTCTCCTGAACTTCTTACACATGTTCATACTTTGTTTGCATGCCTGTGCTGAGTGTTTGTTTTTGTTATTATTAATTAATTTTTTTCCTTTGTTTCATTTTGCAATGTATTAAAAAGCTGTATCGATTACCTACTCCACTTAACTTGAAAAAATTATTTATCCACCCTATAGTTATATTATATTAAGGTTTATTGTCCATACGGATGCTTAGCATCTAGGGACCTTTATTGTAAACATTAGATATATGCATAAAAAAAACGTAGTTATGTAAAATTCTTATGTAATCGAATAAATAAATAAATAAAAATAAAATTTCAATTAAGTTTACGGAATACATTAGTTTTATAGGGTAGGGTAGCATATTTTGTACCTTTCCACCTCGCCTTCCACTTTTCAACCCTGCTAATCTCTGATATCGAATGTGATAAATAGGTAGGTACTATCAGTGTTGCCACAGGTGGCCACATATGGCCCGTTTCTCCGTTACCCGAAATTCTGGAATCTGGTCCCTTCTAAAAATATAGTCTGGCACGAAATTTTCAGAGCCTGTGGCAACACTGGGTACTATGCAGTACCTAATTCAGTAATTGCAATACACCTATACAGGGTGTTTCAGAAATAGGGTTACAAACTTCAAGGGCAGATAGTATTCATGAAAATAATTTAAAAAGTTCCTATGGATATAGGTCCGGAAACGCTTCGTTTCCAAGATACAGGGTGTTAAGTTTTTCAAAAAAAAAAAAGTTTTTTATTAATAGCCCAGAAGAGCTTTAGCCGATCTCAATGAAATTTTCACGGTTTATTTCAACCATTATCAGACATCTACTGGATTAATTAGATTTGATCTAGAATTTCCAGGGGCGTACCCAGCGACCAAGTCGGTTGTTTTTGTGCAGAAAAAAATATGATTCTGTAGTTTTTATACGATTTTTATTGATTATTCAGATAGACACACTAAAAATACAACATTTTTGTCTCTTGAATTTTTCAATTATCTCGCTTCGTTTCCGCAGAAAAATTACAATACCATACCTCGCACGTCTCTGAACTCCATAAGAAAAAATAAAAAAGCTTAGGAATTGATTAAAAATTTATCGCAGTTTGTTCAATCATGAAAACTAAACAAACAAAAAAAACTCAAATGGAATTTATGTCCTTGTCACTCAATGAATGGGTGATGTACCTTAATTCCTACGAATTTTTATCTTTTTTATGGAGTTCGGAGCGTGCCGAGGTATGATATTGTAATTTTTTCGCGAAAACGAAGCGAGATAATTGAAAAATTCAAGAGAAAATATGTTGTATTTTTAGTGTGTCTATCTGAATAATCAATAAAAATCGTACAAAAACTACAGAGTGTTATTTTTTTCTGCACAAAAACAACCGACTTGGTCGCTGGGTACACCCCTGGAAATTCTGGATCAAATCTAATTGGTCCAGTAGATGTCTGATAATGGTTGAAATAAACCGTGAAAATTTCATTAAGATCGGCTGAAGCTCTTTTGGGCTATTAATAAAAAACTATTTTTTTTTGAAAAACTTAACACCCTGTATCTTGGAAACGAAGCGTTTCCGGACCTATATCCATAGGAACTTTTTTATTTATTTTCATGAATACTATCTGCCCTTGAAGTTTGTAACCTTATTTCTGAAACACCCTGTATAAAACCGAGTATAAAACATGGTACATTAGAACTATCAGAAGAGTTGGTTGTATTTAGAAGATTTAGTTGGAGCAAGAGCAATCTAATATGCCGGTATCTTCCCTGAAA